GGTGTGGGAGGGGCTGGGGAGGTTTTGGGGGGCTCTGAGGGCGTTCAGGTGAGATGGGGGGGTCTGGAGGGGCTGCAGGAGCCCCTGGGGAGGCTCTGGAGGGGTTCTGGGGGGGATTCTGAGGGGCTGCCAAGGTTTGGGGTGATGGGGATTATGGGGGGGCCCTTGAGGGGCAGCTCCGAGGGTGGGGGGCACCCAAGGGTGCTGCCAGTGCACCCCCAGTGTCCCCCCCCGGCGCAGCCCTTTGTCCCCACGGCCCCGCGCCAGGTGACAAAGTCCTGGGGGCGGAGAGGGGGTGGAAAACGCCCCCAAAACTGCCGTGATTTCACCCAAAACTGCCACAATCCCACCCTAAACAGACAGAAACGACCCAAAACTGCTGTGATTTCACCCAAAACTGCCACGATCCCAATCTGGGCTCAATTCCCGCCATTTTGGGGCTTCCTGAGCCGTTCTCGCTGATTTTGTGGGGTTGGGTTTATGCTGTTTTAGCGGTGATTTTGAGGAGTTTAAAGGGGTTTAGAGGTTAAAGTGGCCTCTAAGGGGGTCGTGAGGGTCTCTGAGCAGATGGCGTGGTGGTTAATGGGCGGTGATTAGAGAGAGGAGCTTAATGAGCGTTAATTTGGGGGATGCTAATGAGGGAATGCTGTGTGCAGAAGAGTTTCTATGGCAGCGGCGGAAAGAGCCGAGCGCTGCCGGAAACACCCGAGCGCAGGGGCGGGGCGGAGGGCGCCGAGTCCTGCCGGGAATACCCGAGTGGTTCCGATTATGAGGGGACCAGGGGAGCCGAGCGCTGTCGGAAATGGCCGAGCGCAGAGGCGGGGCGGAGAGAGCCGAGTCCTGCCGGGAATACCCGAGTGATTCCGATTATGAGGGGGCCGGGGGAGCCGAGCCCTGCCGGAAACTCCCGAGTGATTCCGATTATGAGGGGGCCGGGGGAGCCGAGCCCTGCCGGAAACTCCCGAGTGATTCCGATTATGAGGGGGCCGGGGGAGCCGAGCCCTGCCGGAAACTCCCGAGTGATTCCGATTATGAGGGGGCCGGGGGAGCCGAGCCCTGCCGGAAACGCCCCCGGCGGGGCCCCCCAAAATCCCCCTGGGGGAGGGAAGGAGGGACCCCCAAAACCTCCCCAATTCCCCTACCCCGGTTCCCGCCAGCCCCCGAGCCGCTGGGGAGAAAAGGGGCGGGGCAAAACCGTCATGAGACATGAATATGCAAATATCGGGGTGTTAGTGTGCTAATAAACGAGTGACGCGAAACCATCAGGGCGGAGGGGCGGGGTTATGCAAAACAGCTGCGGACAGCGAGCGAAAGGCATGCTGGGATGATTTTTGGGGCGGATTTCGGGTGTTTTGGGGTCGGTTCGTGCGGGACGCGGGACAGAATCAGTCACTGCGATCTGATTGGTTCATGGGCGGGGTCATGCTAATGAGATATCGGCTTCATAACAACGAGCGGGGCGAATGCAAATCAAAGTCCTGCTCGCCCAATCACATCACGAGCTGGAGGCTGAGGGGGCGGGGCTTTTAACTGGTGGGCGGGAGTGAGGGGCGGGGTTATGCAGATCAGAAGGCGGCAAGCATGCAAATCAGCGCCAGCGCGCCGCCAAGGGCATCATGGGAGCGAAAATTGGGCGGAATTTCGCGATTTTCGGCGTCCGCGCGTGGAAAAATCGGGAGCAAAGCGCGGAGTGAGCCGGGCGGGAGGCCGGGAGCGGGACGCGCGGGTCGGGGCGCGGCGCGGGGCTGTCCGTGAGGTGCGGGCCGGGCGGGCGGGGCCGGGCGCGGCGCGGGGCCCGGCTCGGGCATCGCTTCTCGGCCTTTTGGCTAAGATCAAGTGTAGTATCTGTTCTTATCAGTTTAATATCTGATACGTCCTCGATGAGAGGACTTCATATTAAACGGATTTTTGGGCTCGGGAGTTGGACCCGGAGCTTGCTCCCTCCGCTCCGCGCATCGTCCCGGTATTGCAGTGCCTCCGGGAACGGTGCACCCCACCGGGGACTGAAATGGTGAAAAACAGATTGAATCGGGATTGTATCGTGATTGTATCGCGATATTGCAGTGCTTGTGGGAACGGTGCACCCCTTTATGGGGACTGAAATGGTGAAAAATAGATTAAATCGTGATTATATCGCGATAGCAGCCCGGTATTGCAGTGCCTCCGGGAACGGTGCACCCCCACCGGGGACTGAAATGGTGAAAAACAGATTGAATCGGGATAAACCGGGATTCTATCGTGATATAGGGACTGAAATGGTGAAAACCAGACTGAATGATGATTCTATCGCGATATCAGCCTGGGATTGCAGTGCCTGCGGGAACGGGGCACCCCTCACGGGGATATTCCATGGTGAAAAATAGATTGAATCGCGATTCTGTCGCGATATCAGCTCGGGATTGCAGTGCCTCTGGGAACGGTGCACGCCTCAGTGGGGACTGAAATGGTGAAAACCAGATTGAGTCGTGACTCTATCGCGATATGGGGAACGAAATGGTGAAAACCAGATTGAGTCGTGACTCTATCGCGATATGGGGAACGAAATGGTGAAAACCAGATTGAGTCGTGACTCTATCGCGATATGGGGAACGAAATGGTGAAAACCAGATTGAGTCGTGACTCTGTCGCGATATCGCAGCGCCCCCGGGAACAGCGCGCCCCCAGGAGGGGCCTCAGGTGGTCAAAAATCGATTAAAAATGTGAATAATCGCCATTATCGCGTTTATGTCGCGACATGAACCGCGCCGTGTCACTCGCTGTCGCTGCTGGAGTGATCTCTGCTCTGCGTGTCGTCCCCGATTTAATTAATTATCCCCATTTAATTAATTACTCCGATTTAATTAGCCACCCTAATTTGATACCCCAATTTAGTCACCCCAATTTAGTCACCCCAATTTAATTAGTCCCCCCAATTTAATTAATTGTCCCAATTTAGTCACTCCAGTTTAATTACCCCAATTTAATTATTTACCCCCATTTAATTAGTCATCCCAATTTAGTCCCCCCAATTTAATTAGTCCCCCCAATTTCATTAATTGCCCCAATTTAATTAATTACTCCAATTTAGTCACCTCAATTTAATTAGTCACCCCACTGGGGGCACGGGGGGTCAGAGACCCCCAGGACCCCCCAAAATCCCCCCCCAAAACCCCTCAGTGCCCGCCCTGGGGGTGAGAGACCACCGGGACCCCCCCCAAAATCCCCTCAGTGCCCACCCTGGGGGGCACAGGGGGATCAGGGGGGCAAAGACCCCCCAGGACCACCCCAAAAATCCACCTGGGACCCCCAAAATCCCCTCAAAAAACCCCTGGGACCCCTCAACCCCCACTGTGACCACCCAAAATTGCCCCCAAATCCTGCCAGGACCCCCCTAAATCCTGAAATCCCCCCGGACCCCTCAAAACCCCCCCAAACCCCCCCAGCACTGACGTGTCCCCCGCGGGCAGTGCCAGCGCCGTCAGCGGCGCCTCCCCGAAGGTGGCATCGAGCACCGGGCGGCGCTGGGGCGAGGAGGGGTCGTAGAGACGCACCTGGCACAGGTGAGGGACAGGGGGGGACACGGGGTGGGGACAGCGGGTGACTCCAGGTGCCCTCACCTGGCCGTGCCCCATGCAGGTGACCCCAAATGACCCCAGATGCCCCCCAGGTGTGCTCAGGTTCCCCCCCCAAGGTGTGCCCAGGTGCCTCACCTGTCTGTGCCCAGTACAGGTGACTCCACGTGCCCTCACCTGGCCGTGCCCCATGCAGGTGACCCCAAATGACCCCCACAGGTTGACCCCAAATGTCCCCCCAGGTGCCCCCCAGGTGCCCCCCACCTGTCTGTGCCTGGTGCAGGTGACCCCAGATGCCCCCCCCAGGTGTGCCCAAATGCCCCCCCAAGTGCCCCCAAGTGCCAAGGTGCCCTCACCTGGCTGTGCCCACTGCAGGTGACCCCAGATGGCCCCAGGTGTGCCCAAATGCCCCCCAGGTGTGCCCATGTCCCCCACCTGCCCATGCCCAGTGCAAGTGACCCCAAACGACCCCAGGTGTGCCCAGGTGCCCCCCGTGCCCTCACCTGGCCGTGCTCGGTGCAGGTGACCCCAGATGACCCCAAACAACCCCAAATGGCCCTCCCAGGTGTGCCCAGGTGCCCTCCAGGTGACCTCACCTGGCCGTGCCCCGTGCAGGTGACCCCCAATGACCCCCAATGACCCCCAATGACCCCAGGTGCCCCCCGTGCCCCCACCTGGCCGTGCCCCGTGCAGGTGACGACCCTCTGGGAGCCGGGCAGGAAGTGCAGGTCGCGCTCCCAGACGGGCACGCGCAGGTCCAGCCAATCGTTCCTCACCTGCCGCGTTTGGGGACGTTTGGGGACGATTCCGGACATTTGGGGACATTTTGGGGACATTTGGGGACAGCTCAAAACACTCGAACGCCATTGAGGGACACCTGGGATCGGTTTGGGGACGTTTGGGACGTTTTGGGGACGTTTTGGAGGCATTTTTGGGATATTTACCGAATACTTCCAGGGTAGTTTGGGGATGTTTTTAAGCTATTTTTGGGTTTTTTGGGATATTTTGGGTTATTTAATGGGAATTTTTGGTGGTGGGTTTTTTTTGGAGTTGTTTTGGAGTAGTTTTAAAGGGATTTTGGGTATTTTTGGGGTATTTTTTTGTGGTTTTGGGATTGTTTTCACAGCTATTTTTGGGTATGTTTTAAGGTGTTTCCAGGATATTTTCAGAATACTTTTTGGGTGTTCTTGGGGTATTTTTGGAGTTGTTCCGTGGTAATTTTTTTAGGTGTTTTCAGAGTATTTTTGGGGTTGTTTTGGAAATTGTTTTTGGGATATTTCTGGTGTAGCTTTTGGATACTTTTGGGGGATTTTTGGGGCGCTTTCAAAGTGGTTTTGGGACTGTTTTTGGTATATTTTTAGGTAATTTTTGGTGTATTTTTTGGGTGGTTTTGGGGTGGTTTCACGGTATTTTAGGGGTTGTTTGTGGAGCCATTTTCGGGACATTTCTAGGGCAGTTTTTGGGTATTTTTGGGGTGTTTCTAAGGTGGTTTCAGGGTATTTTAGGAGCTGTTTTTGGAATATTTCTGGGGTAGATTTTGGGTATTTCTGGGTTAGTTTTTAGGTATGGGGCGCTTTCAAAGTGGTTTTGGGACTGTTTTTGGTATATTTTTAGGTAATTTTTGGTGTATTTTTTGGGTGGTTTTGGGGTGGTTTCACGGTATTTTAGGGGTTGTTTGTGGAGCCATTTTCGGGACATTTCTAGGGCAGTTTTTGGGTATTTTTGGGGTGTTTCTAAGGTGGTTTCAGGGTATTTTAGGAGCTGTTTTTGGAATATTTCTGGGGTAGATTTTGGGTATTTCTGGGTTAGTTTTTAGGTATTTTTGGGGTAATTATTGGGTATTTTTGGGGTGTTTTTGGGGTGGCTTCAAGGTATTTTAAGGCTTTTTTTTTGGAACTGTTTTTGGGATATTTCTGGGGGAGTTTTTGGGTATTTTTGGGGTGTTTTTGGGGTTGTTTCAGGGTATTTCACGGGTTGTTTTCGGAGCTGTTTTTGGGGTATTTCTGGGGCAGTTTTTGGGTATTTTTGGGGTGTTTTTGGGGTTGTTTCAGGGTATTTCACGGGTTGTTTTCGGAGCTGTTTTTGGGGTATTTCTGGGGCAGTTTTTGGGTATTTTTGGGGTGTTTTCAGGGCGTTTTGGGGGTCCCACTCACGTTCTTGGCGCGGAACAGGGGCTCCTGGGGCCGCTGCAGGTCCCACACCTTGAGCCCGTTCTCCTTCCCCCCCGTCCCCACCAGGTGAGGCCGCGTCGGGTCCTGGCGCATCCGGCACAGCCCCGGCCCCGCCTGCAGCTCCTGCAGGGGCTGGGGGGGCAGAAAAGTCACCCCAAAAAACCCCAAACCCACCCCAAAAAAACTGCAAAAATCTGCTCCAAAATCCCCCGAAAAATCCCTCGAAAATCCCCAATTCCTGCAGCTCCTGCAGGGGCTGGGGGGGCAGAAAGGTCACCTCAAAAACCCCCCAAAAAACCCCAAAACCTGCTCAAAATCCCAATAAAAAACCCCCTAAAAATCTGCCCAAAAATCGCCCCAAAAATCTGCCCAAAATCCCCCAAAAATCCCTCAAAAATCCCCAATTCCTGCAGCTCCTGCAGGGGCTGGGGGGGCAGAGAGGTCACCCCAAAAAACGCTCAAAAAAACCCCAGATCCACCCCAAACCCCGCTCAAAACCCCCACAAAAAAACCCCTTAAAAATCCCCCCAAAAACCCCAATTTTGGCACATCCAACCCCACCCGCAGACCCCAAAAGGGTCTGGAATTGGGGAGGGGTCACCCCAAAACCCCCCCTGACCCCAAAATCCCCCCAGAGCCTTGGGGTGACCCAAAAACCACCCCAACCCCCCCTAAAAACCCCCAAAATCCCAATTTTTGGCACATCCACGGGACCCCCAAAGGCCGCTCCCGGGGCCCGGAACTCCCTCAGAACCCCCTCGGATCCCCCCTGGGGGCCCTCCCTGACCCTCCCGAGCGCCCCCAGGCCCTTCGGGACCCCCCCTCACCTTTGAGGGCTCCGGTCTCGGCCCCCACCCAAACGTGACACAACCGCGTGGGCGCCGCCATCTTGGGAGCGCTCCCGGCCCTTCCGGCGCGGCAACCGCGGGCGCGGCGCGAACGTTCCGGGGAGAAAAGTTCCGGGCAGCTCCTTCCCGCGCGGACGCTCATTTGCATAACCCCGCCTCTCACCCGCTGAGCGCTCCCCGCCGCGCTTATTTGCATGCCCCGCCCCTCGTGGGCGTGGCCGGCCCCGGCATGGCGGAGCGGGAGGAGCGGCGCTTCGTGGAGCTGCCGCGGGACTCGGTGCGGCTCATGGCCGAGAGCGCCGGCGTGGAGCTCAGCGACGAGGTGGCGGCGCTGCTGGCCGAGGACGTGTGCTACCGGCTGCGGGAGGCCACGCAGGTACCGGGGGAACCGGGGTTAACGGGGGCACCGGGGGCACCGGGGCTACCGGCTGCGGGAGGCCACGCAGGTACCGGGGGCACCGGGGTTACCGGGGGCTACTGGGGTTACCGGGGTCACCGGGGAGCCCCGCGGGCACTCCCGGCCCCGCTGCCGCCCAGCGGTTCCGGTGCCGTCCCGGGAGCGTTTCCCCGGTGCTGGAGCCGCACCGGTCCCGGTGTCGCTCTGGGTGACGATCCCGTTCCCGTTGTCTTTTTCTCATTCCCCTTCCCGGTGCCATTCCCGGTTCTGTTCCCGACTCCATCCCCGTTCCCGATCCCGGTGCTGATCCTGATCCTGTTCCCATCTTCCTAATTTCCGTTCCTATTTCTTCATTCCCATTCCTGTTCCCTTTCCCATCCCCATTCCTGTTCTCGTTCCTGTTACCGTTTCCCCGTTTCCGTTCCTATTTCCCCATTCCTATTTCCCCGTTCCCATTTCTCCATTCCCATTCCTGTTCCGATTTCCCCATCCCCATTCCCGTTCCCATTTCCCCATTCCTATCTCCCCATTCCCATTTCTCCATTCCCATTCCTGTTCTGATTTCCCCATCCCCATTCCCGTTCCCGTTTCCCCGTTTCTGTTCCCATGTCCCCATTCCTATTTCCCTGTTTCCATTCCCGTTGTCCCGGTTCCCATCTCCGTCCCTATCCCCATTCCCATTTCCCCATTCCCGTTGTTCCCATTCCCATTCCTATTCCAATTCTCTCATTCCCATTCCCGTTGTCCCCATTGCTGTTCCCATTCCTGTTCTCGTTCCCGTTACCATTTCCCCGTTTCCGTTCCCGTTTTCCCATTCCTCTTTCCCCGTTCCCATTCCCGTTGTCCTGGTTCCCATTCCCATCCCTATCCCCATTCCCGTTTTTTCCATCCCCATTCCCATTTCCCCATTCCCGTTGTTCCCATTCCCATTCCTGTTCCAATTCTCCCATTCCCATTCCTGCTGTCCCCATTGTCCCTTCTTTCCCCTCTGTCCCCCTGTCCCTCTGTCCCCCTGTCCCCCCTGTCCCCACTGTCCCCATTGTCCCCTTGTCCCCATTCCCATCCCTGTTGTCCCCTCTGTCCCCCTGTCCCCCCTTTCCCCACTGTCCCCACTGTCCCCACTGTCCCCATTGTCCGTCTGTCCCCCTGTCCGTGTGTCCGTGTGTCCCCAGAACAGCTCCCAGTTCCTCAAGCACACGCGGCGCCGCCGCCTCACCGTGGAGGATTTCAACCGAGCGCTGCGCTGGAGCAACGTCGAGGTGGGGACACGGGGGGGACACTGAGGGGGACACTGGGGACACTGGGGACACTGGGGGGACACTGGGAGAATGGGGACACTGAGGGGACACTGGGGACACAGGGACATTGGGGACACAGGGACACGGGGGGACACTGGGAGAATGGGGACACTGAGGGGACACTGGGGACACTGAGGGGACACGGGGGACACAGGGACACTGGGGACACTGTGAGGGACTGGGGACATTGCGGGGACACTGGAGGGGACACTGGGAGGGCTGAGCCAGGGGACACTGGTGGCACTGGGGCTGTGCCCAACCCCTGCAGTGTCCCCAGATCCCTGGTACCGGGGGCACCGGGGTTACCGGGGGCTACTGGGGTTACCGGGGTCACCGGGGAGCCCCGCGGGCACTCCCGGCCCCGCTGCCGCCCAGCGGTTCCGGTGCCGTCCCGGGAGCGTTTCCCCGGTGCTGGAGCACCGGTCCCGGTGTCGCTCTGGGTGACGATCCCGTTCCCGTTGTCTTTTTCTCATTCCCCTTCCCGGTGCCATTCCCGGTTCTGTTCCCGACTCCATCCCCGTTCCCGATCCCGGTGCTGATCCTGATCCTGTTCCCATCTTCCTAATTTCCGTTCCTATTTCTTCATTCCCATTCCTGTTCCCTTTCCCATCCCCATTCCTGTTCTCGTTCCTGTTACCGTTTCCCCGTTTCCGTTCCTATTTCCCCATTCCTATTTCCCCGTTCCCATTTCTCCATTCCCATTCCTGTTCCGATTTCCCCATCCCCATTCCCGTTCCCATTCCTGTTCCCATTCCCGTTCCCATTCCTGTTCTTGTTCCCGTTACCATTTCCACATTTCCGTTCCCATTTTCTCATTCCTGTTTCCCCATTCCTATTTTCCCATTCCTGTTTCCCTGTTCCCATTCTTGGTCCCATTCCCATTGTCCCGGCTCCCATTCCTGTTCCCGTTTTTTCCATCCCCATTCCCATTTCCCCATTCCCGTTGTTCCTATTCCCATTCCTATTCCAATTCTCCCATTCCCATTGTCCCCATTCCCGTTCCCATTTCCCCATTTTCCCCATTCCTGCTGTCCCCATTGTCCCCGTTCCCATTGTCCCCATGTCCCCACTGTCCCTCATTGTCCCCCTGTCCCGCTGTCCCTCTGTCCTGCTGTCCTGCTGTCCCCCTGTCCCTCTGTCCCCCCTGTCCGTCTGTCCCCTCTCTCCCTCTGTCCGTCTGTCCCCCTGTCCGTGTGTCCGTGTGTCCCCAGAACAGCTCCCAGTTCCTCAAGCACACGCGGCGCCGCCGCCTCACCGTGGAGGATTTCAACCGAGCGCTGCGCTGGAGCAACGTCGAGGTGGGGACACGGGGGGGACACTGCAGGGACATTGGGGGGACACTGGGGACACTGGGGACACGGGGGGGACACTGGGGACACAGGGACAGCAGGAGGGACTGGGGACACAGGGACATTGGGGACACAGGGACATTGGGGACACAGGGACACGGGGGGACACTGGGAGAATGGGGACACTGAGGGGACACTGGGACAGTGGGGACACTGGGGACACTGGGAGGGACTGGGGACATTGCGGGGACACTGGAGGGGACACTGGGAGGGCTGAGCCAGGGGACACTGGTGGCACTGGGGCTGTGCCCAACCCCTGCAGTGTCCCCAGATCCCTGGTATCCCCAATATCCCCAATGTCCCCTCGGGGTCCCCTCGGTGTCCCCAGGCCGTGTGTGGCTGCGGCTCGCAGGAGTCGCTCCCTGAGTGTCCCCAATGTCCCCAATGTCCCCTCGACGTCCCCAATGTCCCCTCACTGTCCCCAGGCCCCCTCGAGCTGATGTTCGCAGGAGTCGCTCCCTGAGTGTCCCCAATGTCCCCAATGTCCCCTCGACGTCCCCAATGTCCCCTCACTGTCCCCAGGCCGTGTGTGGCTGCGGCTCGCAGGACTCTGTCCCCAATGTCCCCATGATGTCCCCAATGTCCCCAATGTCCCCTCACTCTCCCCAGGCCGTGTGTGGCTGCGGCTCCCAGGACTCGCTCCCGTTCCAGGGGACAGTTCAGGGCTGTCCCCTCAGTGTCCCCAATGTCCCCAATGTCCCCAGGCCGTGTGTGGCTGCGGCTCGCAGGACTCGCTCCCGTTCCGCTCCCTGCGCGACTCGGATTTGTTTTTCCCCGAGGACCGCGAGGTGAACCTGCTGGAGCTGGCGCTGGCCACCAACATCCCCAAGGGCTGCGCCGAGACCGCCGTCAGAGGTGGCACCCCAGAAATGTCCTGGGACCCCAAAAATGTCATGGGAACCCCAAAATTATCCATGGGAACCCCCAAAATACCCCCAAGGGCTGCGCCGAGAGGTGGCACCCCAAAAATGTTCTGGGAACCCCAAAAATGTCCTGGGACCCCAAAAATGTCCTGGGACCCCAAAATCATCCTGGGAACCCCAAAAATTATCCATGGGAACCCCAAAACCATCCTGGGAACCTTGAAATGTCCCTGGGAACCCCAAAATACCCCTGGGAACCCCCAAATCCCACTGGGACCCCAAAATGTCCTCTGGGAACCCCAAAAATGTCCCCATACAACCCCAAAACATCCCTGAGGACCCCAAAATATCATCTGGGAACCCCCAAATTATCCATGGGAACCCCCAAAATATCCCCAAGGGCTGCACCAAGACGGCCGTCAGAGGTGGCACCCCAAAACATCCCAGGGACCCCAAAAATGTCCCCATGGAACCCCAAAACATCCCTGGGGACCCCACAATATACCTGGGACCCCAAAATCATCCTGGGAACCCCAAAAATTATCCATAGGAACCCCAAAAATTATCCATGGGAACCCCAAAACCATCCTGGAAACCCTGAAATGTCCCTGGGAACCCCAAAATACCCCATGGAACCCCCAAATCCCAATGGGACCTCCAAAATCCCCCCTGGGACCCCCAAATTCCGCCTCGGACCCCCAAATTCCCCCCTGGGACCCCCATTTGAGGGGGAGTTTGGGGGTCCTGGGGGAGTTTGGGGTGAGTTTAGGAGGGACTGGGGGGCAATTTGGGGCGAGTTTAGAGGGGTCCTGGGGGGGACTGGGGACCCAAACCCACCCTCCCACCTGCCCCAAGTGAAATCCATGAGCCATGACCTGGAGCAGCTGAGCCGGGCTGAACTGGGCTGGGCTGGGCTGGGTTTAGATGAACTGGGCTGAGCTGGGCTGATCTGGGCCGGACTGAGCTGTACTGGGCTGTCCCTGTCACCTCCCCAATCCCACCCTCCCACCTGCCCCGAGTGAAATCCGTCAGCCACGACCTGGATCAGCCGAGCCGGGCTGAACTGAGCTGATCTGGGCTGAACTGAGCTGGGTTTAGATGAACTGGACTGAGCTGGGCTGATCTGTGCTGTCCCTGTCGCCTCCCCATCCTCATCCTCCCACCTCCCCCAGGTGAAATCCGTCAGCCATGACCTGGAGCAGCTGAGCCAGGCTGGGCTGAGCCAGGCCAGGCCAAACTGGGCTGGGTTTAGATAAGCTGGGCTGAACTGGGCTGTCCCTGACACCTCCCCAACCTCATCCTCTCACCTCTCTCAAGTGAAATCCATGAGCTATGAGCTGGAGCAGCTGAGCCGGGCTGAACTGGGCTGGGTTTAGATGAATTGGGCTGGACTGGGCTGTACTGGGCTGACCCGGGCTGACCCTGGCTTCTTCCCAACCCCACCCTCCCACCTGGCCCAGGTGAAATCCGTCAGCCACGACCTGGAGCAGCTGAGCTGGGCTGAACTGGGCTGGGTTTAGATGAATTGGGCTGGACTGGGCTGTACTGGGCTGACCCGGGCTGACCCTGGCTTCTTCCCAACCCCACCCTCCCACCTGGCCCAGGTGAAATCCGTCAGCCACGACCTGGAGCAGCTGAGCCGGCTGCTGCACCTGGCGCGGAGCCTGCTGCAGAACCCCTTCCTGTGCCTGGGCTCCTACGTGGGCAGCCTGATGGGCTCGGTGCTCTACTGCGTGCTGGAGCCGCTGGCCGCCTCCATCAACCCCCTCAACGACCACTGGACGCTGCGCGACTACGCTGCCATGCTGCTGGGCCGCATCTTCTGGTGGGCAGGGGGCTCCTGGGGGGCTCCTGGGGGGTGTCACGTACTCTCTCTGGGGCTCAGTGCCCGCCTGTGCCCGCAGGAGCCACGGGGAGTTGGTGAGGGGGCTCTACCAGCAGATCCTGCTCTCGCTCCAGAAGGTTCTGGCGGATCCCGTGCGGCCGCTCTGCTCCCACTACGGGGCCGTGGTGGGGCTGCACGCGCTGGGATGGAAGGTTTGGGGGGGTCCTGAGGGGGTCTGGAGGGTTTAGGGGTTCCATGGGGGAGTTTGGGGGGTCCTTGGCATTTTTTGGGGTTCGGAGGCAGTTTGGGGTTCAGGGGGGGTCTCACTCCATGCCCCTTGTGCCCCCCAGGCAGTGGAGCGGGTGCTGTACCCCCACCTCCCCACGTACTGGTTTGGGGGTTCCATGGAGGGGTTTTGGGGTTCCTGGGCAGTTTTTGGGGTTCAGGGGGGGTTCCCAGACCGTGTCCCCCATTTCCCAGGCGGTGGAGCGGGTGCTGTACCCCCACCTCCCCACGTACTGGCCCAACCTCCAGGCTGTGCTGGACGATTACTCCGTGTCCAACGCCCAGGTCAAGGCTGACGGCCACAAAGTCTACGGCGCCATCCTGGTGAGATTGGGGGGCTTTTTTGGGGAGGGGTCCCGCACCCCTTAACCCCCCTTAGATCCCTCTGACCCCCCCCGTGTCCCCCAGGTCGCCGTGGAGCGGCTGCTGAAAGCCAAGGCTCAGCAAGCCCCGGGATTTGGGGGTCCCGAGGGGTCCCCCCGGCACAGCCCCCCCGGCCAGGACCCCCCCCCCGAGCCGGGCTTGGGCCGCCCGGTGTTACCGGGGGGCGGCGCCGCCGCTTCCTCCTCCTCTTCATCATCATCCTCCTCCTCCTCGCCGTCGCTGCGGGACATGTACCGCGAGCTCTACGACTTCTTCGGGGACAGCCTGGCCGCCCGCTTCGGCACCGGCGCCCCCGCCGACCCCCCGAGCCCCCCGGGCGCGGCCGAGGGCGCCCGCAAAGAGCCCCCGGCCGAAGGAGCCGCCCGCAAAATGCCCCAGCTGACCAACGCCACGGTCAGCCCCAGGGACGAGGAGCCGCCCCCGCCGCGGCCCC